CTCTCCCTCCCTCCCTCCCTCTCCCCCTCCCCTCTCCCCCTCTATCTTGTCTTCTTGATTTGGTGTTCACTCTATACACATATGAATATGTGAGTTATAATCTGAAAGTATATTCTTAACTTCTTTATATTTTAGGGATTTACGAAGGAGATTTATTTGGAGAAGGAACGTTGGCAGGGGTTATGTTTTCCCAAGTTTTGTGTAACCTATACCATTTAGATATTTCTTATTTTAAAGTAAAATTAAGCTTTATCTGATTTAAAGGTGAGATGAAGATGCTGCTGCTTTCCAGTCTATTGTTCATTTGTTTCTATCAATTTCTAATTGTCTAGGTACATTAAGGATTATGATGGGGGGATCCTTATGGAATGCAAAATTGATCCAAAGCTTCCGTATACTAATTTATCAACCATGATACGCCGTCAGAGACAGGTTTAAAACTGATCTATATGGTTTTGTAGTCGAGAACCACCTTTGTCTATAAGAAACAGTACCAGCCTACTTGTTCTGGGTTAAAGCAATGGTTATTATGATTCACTTCTGTACAGTATTTGTTGATGCTAGGCAATTGATGAAAAGATACGAGAACTTTCAAATTGTCATATTATCTACCAAGGAATGGATTTTCAGAAGGTATGGGCATGCCTCCAAGAGTAGTATCTCCATAAAAATCTATGTTACTAAACACTATATTACTGCTCATTTGTGAGTTAGTTGGACCGGGTAAATCTTTATTTTGTTGTAGATTTAATTATTTTATTTGAGACTTCGGGTAATATCTAGCTGATTTTCTCAATGGAGCAGCATAGTACTGATGTACTATGCTTTCAAGACTTCAATAGGGGGTGAACCCTAGGGGAGGAGGGAATGTTTATCCTAAATGATGATTTTATGCCTTAAATGAACATGTACTTACTCTTGAGCATCTCTTTCCACAAATTGCCTTATTATAGACAATCAACTTTTTTATTGCTCTTTTGCTGTTTTGTCCCTCTTTTTGTTACAAATACTATCTTTGTTTGAAAAAAAATGTCAATTAGAAAAAATGAAATGTCAGTTTGGTTTATTGGAGTATAGTTTCTATAAATTCGGATAGCCTTTTAACTCATTGTCGCATATGTTTTAAAGATCATTCTGGGTAATATGATTTTCATGCGTGTAAACTAAAGTGTTAGTGGGAAATCATAGGATCCAAATGCTACAGCAATATCAATCTGTATCCTAATGTTCCACTTTTTCTATCAAGTATCACATGTTAATGAAGGCAGAAGTCTAACCAAGCATTCCAGCCCAGCTGGTTGTGAGGTTACCGTGCCTAGTGGGAGATCTCGAGTTCGAAACCCGCTAGGCACATAAGAGTTCGAAACTCGTGAGTTTCAGCCCTGATTACTCGAGGCCCCCAGCCCCCAGACCCCCTGGAGTAAAAAAAAAAAAATTGAAGGCTGAAGTCCCAATGTCATAACATACCTGTTTGCATCCTTGGTTCATGGCAGTAAAGCATTTCCAATCCCCCTGATTTCTTTTAAGATCTCCAGTGTTACAACACTCTACTCTCCATAATTCAGTACCTACTTTTGACAACAAATATCCTCAACCTTGTGAAACCAGCTTTGTTTAGCTTACCATCATTAGCCACTCTTCTCACTTTTGCTCTGTTCTTATTGCAAAACCGTGTCTAATTTAACCACACATCAATCTTAATGGTCTTCAGATTTTTCTTCATCAGAATTTGAATGTTTTTGATTCACTCCATAATGCCAGTATTTTGGTCTTAGAGGCTCATTTTGATCCCACTACTCCTATTGTATTGAAATGTTTCTTATTAGATTTGGAGTCGTGTAAAAAAGAAAAGGAACTATTGTGAAAGAGAAACCATTAGCTACTGAGGTGAAAGTGTCATCTAGATGCAACGTCAGGCTAGTAGGGTTATACGTAGTACTCCCTCCGTCCCGCTATGATTGTCCCCATTTTATCTTTTCAGTCCGTCCCACTAAGATTGTCTCATACCTTATTTGGTAAATTTGTGTGGTTCTAAATCATTCTTACTTTATTCTTACTTTACAATTTAATATCAACCACATAAACCCACTTTTATTAATAACCGTGCCACCTTCTTTTGTCCCAAACTTAGGGGGACGGAGGTATATATGTTAACAGTAATAAAGGACTAAGGCCGTGCAATATCTTACTTTAGGGACTGAAAGTGCCTATTTTCTTTATGGCTGTGATTGAATATAGAATTACCAAAGTGAAAGGAAGTAACATCTAATTTATGGTTATAATTTGCATGTATTAACTGGGTTTCAGAAGGAAGCAGGTATCCCCAGGAAAGCCTTTAAGGTTGAGGACATAGCTGGTTTAAGTAAGTGCATTGCATTCCTCAACATGTGATGTATCTGGCTCACTTCGTTTCTTTTGAAAGTGAAGAATTGTGATTCGGATTGACTGCATACCCGAGACTTGCTTAGCTTCTGAGACATGATAAAATTCTATATATTGTCATTATAATAGGAGAGGCTGGGTGGACCAGTGATCAATATGGTTATTCGCGATTTAAAGCAATGAACTTGTCTGATCAGAAGTTATTGGCAACATTCATGCGCTCACTTGTAAAGGTGTGTCTCTTGAGGTTCTCATTTATCCATTTTTCCAACTACTCACCCCTTCCCCCTGCCCCACTGGCCACTGCCTTCTCCAGCAACACCTGCCTGTGGAAACTGGAAACTGCTGCCGGAAAATCTCACCAGATTTTTTCCTAGTTTTTTTTTAAATGCTCAGAAAATTAGCTGAAAAAGGTCACAGGGAACTTTCGCCGTAATTTTTCTTTTTAGTTTTAGCCGAAAAAAGCTGTCGAATTTTTTTCCCCAATGGGCACAATGATATGTTTCACAATGAAAGTGACATAAGAACTTGGGAGTGATATCATGTTTTTTCAAAGTTATTATCTTGTTAGTCACATTTTTGTCCATATGTATAAGTGGTCACTTTTCGGAAATAAGCTTAGATTTAGTCATATTTTAGGGGGGAAAACTTGATTAAGTTTCCTCCAGTGTAATGGCGTTATTTGGACTAACACTGGTCCCTCAGCTGGGTTCAATTGATTGTTTACTTTCCTCTGGTTGATATATGGTCGAGGTTACTATGAAGAGCAAACAAGGCAGTTATTCATGCCCTCGACACATTTTGATGATGTTAGTATTTGTAGGATCGAGATTGCGGCTGGGAAAAGGTCCTTATAGGGAAAAACACTTTTGACAAGTAGATTTGAGAATTGAGGTGTTAAAGTGATTTTAAGATATAATTGTGCTTGGTGTTGAGGCTGAAATGTGCTGTCCAAAACATGAACTGTCTTGACGTTTGCATCAGTTGTTCGGAGTCAGGTTTTGAACAACCCATAACATGTTTAGATTTGCGTTAGGGCAATGAGGAGTTTTCCCTCTCCAAACTGCAACTCAAACAGAGCCTTAGCGATTTTCTTATACTCCGTATAAGAAAAGAGCGTCCCCACAATTTTTAGCCATTACACAGACTGATTTTTTAATTGCCTCTTGTTACTAATGCTCTATGTGTTAAAAAGGCTATGCAAGATCATCCTGATGCCTGGCCATTCAAGGATCCAGTCGATGCACGGGAAGTCCCTGATTATTACGATATCATCAAAGATCCGATGGGTATGCTCAATATTCATGAATTTTTTTTATTTGGGAACTTAGGTAGTGTGGCATCTTACAGCATTTGATGCCATATACTTTATCCTTAATTATCTGAGCGGAGGAATCTATTGATGCCTACAATATCCCTATCCCTGACCAACATTTCTTGGCGCCTAAGATCTCATACATGCAAAACCAAATGACGTGTGTTACATTACATTGTTGAGACATAATGTGTTCAGTAACTGCGTATGCACACACTCGCACTCATACAATGGATGGTTCCTATTTCCTAAAAATGTTGTTTTGGAGGATTGCTATGCAAAAGATTGGCACATGATTAGGCTCATTCTACAAGCTAAGTATGACACGCTGGTGTATGGTGTACTCATAGATGGGACTTTGTTCTACACTTCGTGGTTGATGTGTTTAGTCATTTACAGCCTATATTTATTTGTTTGTTTTGTTCAACCATAATTCCACTCTTCTGTATCTTGTTATATGTCATCTTCAAGATTTCATGTAGCATACTAACATTTTGTTGGGTTAAAAAAGACTAGCATTTTGTTGGGATCTTTGTTTTCTTTACCTAAAATGTTTGGTGTATTTTTGGTTGAACTTCGTGGCTATGATGAGGTGGAATAGTCGCAGCTTGAATGCACCAAATTTGGTGTATCTTTGCTATATGAGCACCAGTATGTCTTCCCATTTTTACAAAATCTCAAATATATAATCACGATATCAACTAATCCCTCCAAACACTCCACAATCCTAAATCCAAACGTACCCTCAGCCAACAAGAGAAAGCCAATGAGGTGTTACAGTAATTTTTAGCATGTCTTCTTTGTACAAATCAGTCAAATATAATGTGCATTGAAGCGAAGATGGATGCATATCTAGAAGCTCCACTAATATTTCTCTTACTGGCCATTTATTAGATTTGAAAATGTTGTCGAAGCGGGTAGAGTCAGAGCTATACTATGTCACACTTGACATGTTCGTTGCGGATGTCAGGAGGATGTTCACCAATGCTCGCACCTACAATTCCCCAGAAACCATTTATTATAAATGTGCAACCAGGCATGAGAACACCTACCCTTCTTTCATCATTAGCTTGTCCTATCTCATACGGATTATTATGTCTTATAACTGAGACCATTTTATCTGAACTTCTAAAATTGCAGGCTGGAATCACATTTCTCTAACAAAGTCCAAGCTGGCCTCCAGTCTGGTGTTAAAATTCAATAGCAAGGTACTCTAAGAGCAGGGAGACTATAAGTTGACATACTTATTGATTAAAGTTGCGCGGACTATGACTTTACTGATGTTATGATAATGTTTGGGTTTTATTTATCACCAGCTGTAAGCCTGTAATGTAGAAAGGTCAGCATGAAGTTTACTCTGTATATTTTGTACTCTTAAGTCTAAATAAACACGATTATATTACAACTCTGATTGGGTATGGATGGTTCCAAATGCAGCTATGTATTCGAACGTTATGTTTATTCAAAGGGATGTTCACGTTTCCTTCTACTTTTATCTTTTTCTGGGAAGTGATTTACTTTACAAATTATATGAAAAGTGCTTAGTAGTAAAAGTTGATATTGTTGGAAAATGTAAGTGATTTGGAAAAAGGTATTCTTTGTGTAATAGAAAAGTAAAAAAAAACAGTTTAAAGTACTCTTTCATGGGTAAAAGTGTAGAACCAGAGTTTAATTTAATAGACCTGTTATCAATAATAATTAAGTTATTTTCAAGTAACTATATGATTGATGCATTTCACTTGTGGCAAATTATATCATTATATAGTAATATAGATGTAATTTTACATTAGGTATTTTTGTAAGCATTTTAATAATTACTCATTAGCATTTGAAAATGATAATTTCTTTGTACACATGCATATTTCTGCTAAATTTGATTTTATATCATGCTCTTTTGGATATAAATAAAACTTTATTTGAAGAGTACTAACAACTCGTGTAACTCAGTCAAATGTCCATTCGGATGTGCTCATTTAACTCAATTGAATACTCCCTCCACACATTACAATGGTCCCATTTACATTTTTCGTCTGTTCCATTAAATTTGTCTCATATTACATTTGATAATATTTGTGTGATTGTGATTCATTTTTACTTTATTATCGAGATAAGGGTCAGATTGGTCATCGAACTTGCATAAAAAGGGTCAAATAAGTCCGTTCTGTCCGGCTGTCGCCATTTTGGCCAGTTCCCGATGTATTTTTTTGATGAATTTTTTTTAGCATCTTATTCATTAAGAGCATGTTTGGCAGACATAAGTCTCTGCCTTCTAGCTTTTGTACTATTTAAAAAGTCTCTAAAAGCTTCTAGTTGTATGTTTGGCATGACAATTTTTAAGAGTTTTTCAAAAATTAAAAGATCTTTTTTGAGATGCTACAGGGGGGTAGCATCTGAGAAAAGTCCGTGACTTTTAGTATTAATTCATCCTAACAGCTTGTATACCAAACAGAACTAAATCAAACAGTCAGCTTTTTACCAAACAACTACCACCTTCTCCTTATAAGATCTTTTCAGTCACTAAAAGCTAACAGTTACTAAAAAGCTCACAAAATTATCTTTTCAGCTAGTTGTGCCAAACATACCCTAAATCTAGTTTACTCATACCAAATTTCAGCTAAAACTTGAATCGGGAAGTTTTAGCTGAAATTTGGTATGAGTAAACTAGATTTAATGAATAAGATGCTCAAAAAATTCCATAAAAAAATTACACCGGGAACCGCCCCAAATGGCGACGTCTGGACAGAGCCTCCTATATAAGGATTTATTTAACCCTTTTTATGCAAGTTCGAGGACCAATCTGACCCTTTACTCCTTTATTATCACTCTATCAATTCCTTATCAATCATATAACTCTACTTTTTTTAAAGCACCACTCTTCTAATCCCCTTTGACTCAATCTCAAGGGGACAGGTAGTATGACTGTATGAGTTAGGATGATATGTTATGAGATTTGGGATATTAGTTTGCACTTTGCAGATACTTGCATTACTTGGTGTAGATACTTGCATTACTTGGTGTGTAGAGGGAGGGATAAAGTGTACTTCCTCTCTCTCTCATTGGACACGGACACATTTGATTTGCGTGTGAAATAAGAAAAGTAAAAATTGTATGATTAATATTTGTGTAGAGGAATGAGAAATAAGGAGAATTATAAATTCATTACTTTAAAAGGATGAACAAACAAAAAAGTGGGCATACATGCACGAATGAGATGGAGGGAGTATAAAACTAGGTTGTTGCAATAATGATACTATATAATATGATCCATTATCTACAAGTTGAGTGTTAAAGCATATTGTTGATCAGTGTTAACATCATTTCATCATTTTTAAATTTTAAATAACGCAACCTTGATTTGGTCAATATATAGATCACAAACTTGGTGTATTTTCACAATTATGACGTATAATACGGAGTATAATTCACATCACAAGTTCACAACCTACTGTTAACTCACACAGTTACAAATAAAAGAATTTGAGCAAACTAAAAAATATACGAGTAGTAAACATTACTGAACAACATATCTTAGTGAACATTTCAAGTGGCTTAATTAGATATATGGCCTATGCAATTACAATATATAAGCATGACAATACATGGCATCTGAATTCTGAAATGGCTCAGACACAACGCAAATATAAAGTCACCCCATTTTAATAATTGTCACATGGATTAAAATAGAACTCGAAATTAAATCAAGCACAAATACCATACAATATACTTGGAATCACGGCACACTCCTCTTCTTGCTACTCAATTGGGTCTCAAATGATAAGAAAAATGAGTAAGAATAATCCCAACTATTGAAAGAAAATTCTCAAAAATGTTCAACTGATTTGTAAGTATTAAAAGTCATTTACGGGTTATTATAAGTCACTGAAGTATTTTAAGTATTTTTTTAATAATTGGGATTATTTTGAGAAAATTGATAATTTATATCATTTGAAGCAGATCAATAATACTCCGTAGTTAAGATATTCGTGCCCACTTTTCCATTGTGATATTGTGGAGTTCTAAGGATGTTTTTACTTGGACTGTAATTTGTCCCAGACCAGACCAGACCAGACCAGTCCAGACCAGACCAGACCAGTTCAGACCAGACCAGACCAGACCAGACTTGGATAGTTATAAAAATACAAAGAAACCAGACCTTACCAGACCAGACCAGACCAGACCAGTTCAGACCAGACCAGACCAGATCAGACCAGACCAGACCAGCAAATTACAGTCCAAGTAAAAACATCCTAAATATACTAGGTGGCAACAACAATGACAATTTGGATGCACCCGTGGCATCTACTACAGTGATGGAATTGTAAATTTATGATATTTTAAATCTCATTTGGGCTTGTTACTTAAAATTTATGTCAAAAAAGAGGTTTACATGTTTTGATCGCCAACTTTTTCATTTGATCGTTTGCTCAAAAGCACTTAATATTGTCGCTTTTCTGTAAATTTCAACTACTTTTTATTTTCTTGAACTCTGCTCATCTAACATAGTTGTTTACTTGGCGTTTGTTTGGGAGTTTGGGGGGAGGAAAATGCTTTAAAGGTTAGCCGCCGTAGGAGGGAGGGGAATTGAACAAAATCCTTGTCTATTTATATATAAGAAAGCAAATGGCTCATTAAAAGACAATTCTAACCTCAAAATAATACACATGTCCTTCTTCCCGCATTTTACTCCTCTATCATAAAAATGCCATGTGGCAATTCAGAGGATAAATACGGCAATGTATTATCAAAAAACCAAAGGAGGTAAAAAAACGTGCCATTAATGTTGTGGACCTCAATGTATAAAAACACCATTTTTCTTCAAAGTGCTATAACTTTTTAACCGTTTATCTAATTTTTATAAAAATACTATCAAAATTCATAATTTTTTACGACCTTTCATATGACATCAATATAGCATATATAATTTTTTTTAAAAAAAATACTCTGAAAGTTTATTAAACAACCTTTATATTTTCCAACATCATTCTTTATTACGAAGTATATAATTAATACTCCCTCCGTCCCGCTATGATTGTCCCATTTTACCTTTTCGGTCCGTCCCACTAAGATTGTCTCATACCTTATTCGGTAAAATTTGTGTGGTTCTAAATCATTCTTACTTTATTCTTACTTTATCAATTTAATATCAACCACATAAACTCACTTTTATTAATAACCGTGCCACCTTCTTTTGTCCCAAACTTAGGGGGACGGAGGTAGTAGCTCCTAATATATGACCAACATAAGCATGATTGATAAAAATATGATTTATTAATTTTTAGTGACTATAATTAAGTGACTACTTAACTCTGAAAGTGACTATAAGAAAAAATGTCTCAAATAAATATTTGTGGACAAAAATGTCAATAAATTTGCTATGAGCAGGGGCGGATCTAGGATTGGCGTTCAGCGTGGGCCAAATCTAATTCAATAATGTATATTACAAAAAATGCCAAAAAATAGTACTCCTTTAAATATAATAATACTCCGTATTACATCTTTTGAATAATGTAACATGTTGAATTTTACACTATTCACATGTTCTATTTTGACTATACTTTATTTTTTAATGAATTAATAACTTTTTAAAAATATTGTTAAACTTGTCTAATTGTAAATTTTTACAATCTTACTTTTTTTTACTAATATAGTGAATAATATATATTTTAAGAACATATATAGTGTTTATTTAATAAACCTTATTTCCATATGTAAAGTAACATACAAGTATGTTACATCATACGGAGTAAATGTTTAAGACAAAAAATAAATATTATGAGAATAAGATTATTTGTTTGAATAGATACGAAGTATATTTGAAGATGTTTGGGGAAGGAAAATTGAAAATTTTAAACACATGCTGTCCATTGCAAAATTGTAGAGCTTAGAAAAAGATATTAAACAATGACCAGGAATCGAACTCAGGCTGATTATCAAGCTACCATCTCGCCATTTTAGTTCTTGTAAACTTTCTGGCTTTTATTATTTTTATACCATTTCTACACAAGACTAAATATATTAATATATATATATATATATATATATATATATATATATATATACTAATATTTTTTTTATCATGGGCCTAGGCCCTACCTGGACCATAGTTAGATCCGCCCCTGGCTATGAGTACACATTTATAGTCACTTGGATATAAAATAAAACATAATTATTATTCCAAAAAGTTAACAAGTCACATTTTTATGCATTATCCTTATTTTGGTCATAATTATGAATCATTTCTTTATTTAATACGAAAATAATCCGTATTGACTAAATAAATAATTCCCAATATATGCCCAAAATAAAGATAGCAAAGAAAAATATGATTATTAATTTTAGTAACTATAGTTATGTTTAAAATTACATCAAAGTGACTATAAGAAAAGTTTTCTCAAATAAATATTATGGATAGAAATGCCACTAAATTGATATTACACTTTTAGAGTCACTTTGATATAAATAAAACATAATTATATTTCCCAAACGTAAAGAAGTCACGTT